CTTAGTTATTAGATATAATTCAAACTCAGGTCACATTTGGGAGCCTTTTATACATGATACAAGCTTCTTTATAAGATTTAAAAGTATATTTGTAGAATTAGTATATACATTTAGAGAGCTGTTTCCAGCTTTAGATGGTATAGATGATTATCTAGGGTTACCAGAAATGACCCAGCACAAACTTTGGACTGGGCCACATTCCTAAGGGCCCAGCATCCACTTTGGGCTGGGCTGCATTCTTTTAAACCAGTTCTTTAGTTACAATTAGTGTAAGTTTTTTCTACTTATAATAGAAGCTGAATTTATTTTATTCATAGAAAGTATTATAGAATAGGTTACTCTATGTCAGGGAATTATGTTAGTCCAAGCGTGATCATACATGATACTTTGAGGGTTTATAAGAATTTAGTTAACTTTAGAAATTTCATAGTCCCCACTTTCTATAATTGCAGTTTTGGCTTTAGTACAATTACAGTTTGTATTTGGGTTTATTTTAGAAGATTTATTGCTGATGATCAGTCTTATATGTCAGGATTAGGAATTAGAAACTTTTATAGAAATTAAGATAGATACATAGAATTTTAGAAAAGCCATTTTGTTAAGAGATCATAATCAATTGTTCCTGGAAATGGCCCAGCATGATCTTTGGACTGGGCCACATTCTTTAGGAACTGGTTTGAGCTATAATTAAGAGTTTTTTACAGTACAGGTAAAGTTAGCACAGAATAGAAAGGTATTAGGATTTAAGTCAGTCATTAGGTGTTGGGTATGCATAAGTTTTAGAAGTTATTGATTATTAAGATTTTATGATGTGAGAATTGTTGTATTGCCTTTGAGGAACATAAACCAAGCATAAGGAACAGTGAGATAATTTTGGGATTGTCCTCCCTCATGCTTGGGAAAAACCTGGTAGGTGGGGGACACCCCTCATCCACCTGGCTTTGTGTTCACATAATAGTCTTGTGATTTTATTGGGATTGTCCTTCCTCATGCTTAAGAAAACACCTGGTGGGTGGGGGGGATGCGCCTCATCCACCTGGCCTTGTGTTCACGTGAAAGTCTTGTGATTTAACATGTGAAAATTTGGGATAAAAGACTCATGGTTGGTCCCAATAAACGACTTCTGCTCATTTCACTGAACAGTTGTCCACTTTCTTTCTTCCTCTTTATATCTATCCCTCCATCTTTCTTTCTTTTAATATTTATCCCTACTACAGAATCGGCTTCTGCACTAGACAGAGTCCAGTCTCTTTCTTTCTCTTTCTTTCTCCAGAATATTCGCCGACACTGCCCCACCTTCCAGGGACCCTCTAAATCTCTTTTTTGGGAGCTGGCCTCCCTCATTTTAGCATCTATGTTCATCAAGGATATTGGCTGTAATTCTCTTTCTTTGCTGGATCTTTACCCAGTTTGGGTATCAATGTGATGTTAACTTCATAAAATGATTTGGTGAGAGCTTCCTCTTTCTCAATCACCTGGAATAATTTCTTTTCAATTTTTTATTTTAAAGACATGGGGTACAATTCAGCATGGGGGTATACAAATGTTCCTTATGTGGATACCTTTGTTGATGCAGTACGCACCCCCCCCTTCACTGACAGTTTCCTACTACTGCCAATCCCACCTCCCATCCCCGGCAGTTTCCCACTATTGCCAATCCTTTTCTTATAGTATTACAATTGTTCAAGGTCCTCTTATGAATGAGAACATATGATACTCAGTTATTTGTTTCTGTGACAGATAACTCAGTATTATAAACTCTAAGTACATCCAAGTTGCAGTGAAGTTCATAATTTTGTTCTTCTTTGTGGCTGAGTAATATTCCATCATATATACGTACCACATTTTTTTAGCCAGCCCACTTTTTGATGGGCAGCAAGGATGGTTCCATGTTTTTGCTATTGTGAACAATGCTGCAATAAACGTGTGTGCAGGAATCTTTTCCATAGAGTGATATGAATTCCTCCAGCTATATTCCCAGTAGGGGGATTGTGGGGTCATATGGAAAGTTGATTTTTAGATCCTGTAGGAATTGCCAAACTGCTTTACACAGAGGTTGTGCTAGTTTGCACTTCCACCAAAAAACAGAAACCCACATAAAAAGCACAATCCCATTCACAATAGTTACAAAAAAATGAAATACCTTGACATCTTCCTAACCAGAGACATCAAGTGTCTTTTCCCCACATTCTCTCCAACATCTGTTGTCTATTGAGTTATTGATGATGGCCATCTTGATTGAAGTTAGGTGATATCTCAGTGTGGTTTTAGTCTGTATTTCTTTGATGATTAGTGAGATTGAGCATTTTTCATGTATCTTTTGGCTGCTTTTGAGAAGACTCTATTCATATATTTTGCACACTTTTTAATAGGGCTGTTTGTTTTTTTCCTTTTGGCATGTTTGAGTTCCTTGTAGATCCTAGACATTAGGCCTTTGCCAGATACACAGTTGGCAAAAATTTTTCTCATTCTGTGGGCTGTCTCTCCACTCTCTTGATGGTTTCTTTTGCTTGCAGAAGCTTTTCTGTTTGAAGAGGTCTCACTTGTCTATCTTAGCTCTTATGGCATGCACATTTGGGGTTTTGATACAGGAACTGTTTGCCGGTTCCAATTTCCATAAGGGTGTCTCTTGCATTTTCTAAGTCTAACAGCTAGACTTTAAGACTAGAGCATTTATTGCAGAATTAAAGATTCATGTTATACATATAAAATGTTTATCATCCACCAGGAAGATATAAAAATTCTAAAATTTTTGAGCAATAAAATAGCCATGCATATACATTTAAGATATGACAGAGGTGTGGGTTGCCCATTGGAGGCCTGCAGTCTGGAGTGGCCGTGGCTGCATGAAGGGCACCCTGGGGAGTCTGGTGGTCGTGGGCTCCCGGCGCCGCGATGCAGGAAAGTTTCAGCTGCATGGTGGCCAACCGCTTCCACCAGCTGCTGGCCGAGTCGCACCGGTTCGACATCCTGCACGAGGTTGAGCGCTGGCGCCTGCAGCAACTGCAGTGCAAGAGACGCGACGAGGTGGCTGCGGTCACAACCGGCATCCACGGCGACAGGAGCCCAGCCGGGGCCTTGGGTCACAGACCCTGAGCAGGTGGTGGCCAGAGGGAGTCCCAGAAGGAGCTTAAGAGCCTCCTGGCCCCGGCACGACGCAGACAGCCCTGGGGTCGAAACACAAGGAGAAAAGGAGCGCAGCAAGGATAGAGTGACAGCCGGAGCCAGAAATGACACTTGAGAGAGCTGAGCAGAGACCCTACAGGGAATATTGGCCCTATGAGAATGAGAGGCATGCAGACTTTACAGCTGAGAAGTCCCCAGATGAGAAACCAGTTGATAGGTTTGATCGAGACAGACCGCCGAGAGCGCGGAGATTCACGAGGGGGCTTGCGTGGCAGAGGAAGAGGTGGCCCTGGGAACAGATCTTTCGATGCCTTTCACCAGAGAGGGAAGTGAGAATTAGAAAGACACAGTGGGAATGACAAAATAGCAATCAGAACTGAAGAAAACATGAGTGGACGCGAAGTTTGCACCTGGGGATCAGGCAAAGATGCCAGTGAGGTGGAGCCGACAGCACCCACGGAAGAGTCTTCACCGTTGAAGGAGGCCCAGGATGCCCTGGAAGAGGAATCTCCCGCCAAAGTTCTCGAGTTGGAAGTAGAAGAAGAAACTCAAGCTCAAGAGATGACTTCAGACGAGCAGAAAAATCTTCAGGAACAAACCAGACTGAGTTTAACATCCAGAAGCCAGAGTCCACTATTCCTTCCAAAGCAGAGGTGATTCACAAGTCCAAGTACAGATGACCAAGAGGATGATTCCCCTGTTTTCCGGAAAGCCACCAATGACATCACATCCCAGCTGGAGATTTGTAACCTCCCTCGTCCTGGGCGTGGAGCCAGAGGTGGCACCTGAGGAGGCCGGCAAAGGATCAGGAGGATGGAAAACTATGGACCCAGAGCAAAAGTGATGATACAAGATGCTGCTCCCAACCCAGATGACCCTGAAGACTTTCTCCCTCTGGCTTGAAGAGCCCTATTCCCTGGCGACTTCCAGCAGCTGGGGCGAACCCATGAAGATACTTTTCTTGCTGTGGGAAGAGAGTCAGACTCTTAAGAACAATCGATGCTGCTTTTCCTGTGTCCTTTGAATTTGTTGCACTTTTTTGGTCTGAGGGGGTATGGGTAGAGTGACTTCTCCAGAACGGGCACTGCCGCTCCCTAACTAGCCAGTCCAGCACTTTCTCAAGAAGGTGAAGAGTGCCGACTATTTTTTATGTAAGTATTCCCAGTTGAAGTTCAGGAATCATGTTTAAAATGTGTACATAGAGATTGTATTGGACCTGCCATAAAATCACAGAGTGTCAAGGAAGCTGTCAAACACTCCTTGATACGACATAGGAAGGCGTGTGGATGTCCAAATGTGTGTCCTTCGGTGTGAGAAGAGGTCAGAGAACCTGAACTGTTCATTTAAAGCAACCACAGCCTAGTTTCCAAGACCAAGCAATTAAGATGCCTTTGTATGTACTGTTTACTTGTAAATGTTATATATGCGCCTGGAACAAGGAGTACTAGACAAATCTACACTCTTAGTGGGTCACTTTAATATACTTTTCTTTTTTTTTCCTGCCCCTCTCCCAGCAATTTATTGGCCCCTTGGGGAGGTAACAGCTCAGGTAAGGTCTTCCACTCCAAAGTCGAGTTCTCTGCCCAGGGCACTAGGCTGACCTGGGCACCCAGAGGCGGCACCCCGACTCCCAGACCGGAACGGGGTGCCACAGGCTGCCAGCACGTCAGAAGGCACTGGCGTCCGCAGACCCTCGCCGTCCCGGTGGGCAAGGCGCGGAGGAGTGGTAGAAGACACAGTCCGTCTGTCCCAGAACCGGAGCCACCCCTATGAGCCGTGGGCAGGCAAGACGCACATGCAAACCCTGCCTCATAAAGCACGTTTGTGGAAGGGACGGGGCGGGGTGGCCGAGGGTGACCCGCCGCGCCTCCCGGTCACATGTTGGCTCGCTCCCCCTGCAGCCACCAGTGGTAGGCGCGGGACACGGTGTTCCAGGCGTCCATGTAACAGCCCGTGCACATGGCGATGCACTTCTGCTCCGAGTTGTCCAGGGAGCGGCGCCCCTCCCCCGTCCCCCTTCCCCTCTTCCCCTTCCCCCTGCTCTCTTTCCGATACACTTCCGGAAACACTTGTCTGTCATCCTCTGCAGCAGCTCCTGCGCATTGGCCACGGCGATTTGCACCTTCACGTACTCCATGATGAGCCCGGGTCCAGTTTCCCGCTGCTGCCGAAGCCCCCAAATCCTAACCGAAGCCACCTTCCATGACTCTGCAAAGTAAACAGCCCTGAGGCCCTGCGCAGACCCATAGCGGTGCTGAAGTCTATTTTTCTTGACAACCAATAGAACAAGTAGGCAAAAAAAGTCTAAATACATAGAAGATTTGAAAAACCCAAATAAGAATATTAACCTAATATACATATATAGTACACTATATCCAACACTTGTAGAAAACAACTTTTTGACCAGGCGCAGTGGCTCAGCCTGTAATCCCGGCAGTTTGGGAGGTCAAAGCGAGAGGATTGCCTGAGCCCGAGAGTTCGAGACCAGGCTGGGCAACTTGGTGAGATAAATTTTAAAAACTAGCCAGGCATTGTAACGTGCATCTATAGTTCCAGCTACTTGGAAGGCTGAGACCGAAGGATCGCCTAAGTCCAGCAGGTCAAGGCTGCGGTGGCCGTGAGCATGCCACTGCACTCCAGCCTGGGTGACAAGACTGAGACTCCAACTCAAAAAAAAAAATTGTTTTTTTGTCAAACACCTAAAGAACATTTGCAAAACTTGACCAAACATATACTGAACATCTCAACAACATCTCAAGAAAATCTCAACAAATTTCAAAAGATTGAAATTGTACATGTCACAATGCAATTAAACTAAAAATCAATAACGAAAAATAATTTGAAAATGTCCTATATAGTCAGTAATTTAGAAACACTCTTAGAGCTGGGCACAGTGGCTCAAGTCTGTAATCCCAGCAATTTGGGAGGTTGAGGCAAGAGGATTGCCTGAGTCCAGGGGTCCAAGACCAGCCTGGGCAACTTGGTAAGACCTCATCTCTACAATCAATTAAAAAATTAGCTGGGTGTGGTGGCGCATGCCAGCTATTTGGAAGGTTGAGGCAGAAGGATCGCCTGAACCCAGTAGGTGGAGGCTTCCATGGCCGTGAGCATGCCACTGCACTCCTGCCTGGACAACAGAGTAATAGTCCCACTCAAAAGAAAAAAAAGAAACACACTTAGCAATAATCTAGGAACTAAAGAAAAAATATTAGTGGATATTTTTAAGGTATGTTATGTGAATGAAAATCAACATGATGCATATGGACATGTGAGATACAAGTAATCATTATTTAAAGGAAATTTTTAGACTTACATGCAAATGTTAAGAAGAGAAAAACTGCAAAATAATGAGCTAAGCATCCATCATGAAAAGTTTGTTTGTTTATTTATTTATTTATTTTTTTTTTTTTTTTTTTTTTTTTTTTTTGAGTTGGAGTCTCACTCTATCACCCAGACTGGAGTGCAGTGGCCGTTCCCAGCCACCACAGCCTCGACCTGCTGGGCTCTGACGATCCTTCCATCTCAGCCTTCCAAGTAGCTGGAACTACAGGCGTGCACTACCACACTTGGCTAATTTTTTGATTTATTGTAGAGATGAGGTCTTGCCAAGTTGCCCAGGTAGGTCTCAAACCCGCGGGCTCAGGCAATCCACTCACCTCAGCCTCCCAAAGCATGGGATTACAGGCTGAGCCACCGAGCCCGGCTATCATGAAAAGTTTAAAAAAGAACAGCAAAGTCGATGCAAAGAGGGTGAAAAGGAAGAGCGTAAAATACTAAAATAGAAAAATACAGTAGAGTGAATAAAAAGCAATTATTTGAATAGATAAACATAATTTATAGCTCTCTAATGAAACTGATCAAGAAAATTTCTGCCAATAATCAGTAACAAGATAAAAATGTGACATCTTTATAGATATTAAAATGAAATTAGAAGATGTGATAAATATTATGTCAGTAAACTTGAAATTTTAGATTAAATAGATAAATTCATAGGAAAATACAACTTACCAAAACTAATGTAAGAAAAAACTAAAAACCTTAATAGCCATATAACCATTAAGAAAATTAAATCAGTACTCAAAAATCTTTCCTCAAATAAAATCTAGCTGAGATATCTAAAAGAGTGGCTTCATATAAAAATAATTTTTCAAGAAAGAATTAATTTACATCTTACAGAAACTCTTCTAGACCACAAAAAAATAAGGGATATTCACAAGACTCATTCGTGAGATGAGCACTGCCTCAGTACCTAACACTAGCAAAGTCATTACATTAAAAAAAATTACAATTAGCCAGGCATAGTGGCATACCACCTGTAGTTCCTCCCAGCAACTCAGGAGGCTGAGGTGGAAGGATTGCCTGAGCCCAGGAGGTCGAGGCTGTGGTAAGCCATGATTGTGCCACTGCACTCCAGCCTGGGCAACAGAGTGAGACCACAACTCAAAACAAGAAAGGCAAGAGAAAGATAATTACAATCAGATATCATTGATGAATATGGCTAGAGCTCAGAGAAGAGAAGGCAATCATGGGTATCCAAATAGGAAAAGAGGAAGTCAAGTTAGCTCTCTTTGCAGATGACATGATTGTGTACCTTGAAGACCCAAGAGAATCTGTCAAAAACCTCCTTACACTGATAAAGGCTTTTGGCAAAGTCTCAGGATATAAAATAAATGTGAAAAGACAATCGCATTTCTTTACACCAATAATAAACAAACAGAAACCCAAATAAGAAGCACAATTTCATTCACAATAGCCACAAAAAAAATGAAATACCTTGGCATCTTCCTAACCAGAGACATGAAAGACCTTTACAATGAAAACTACATAACTCTAATCAAAAAAATCAAAGATGACACAAACAAGTGGAAAAATATCCCATGCTCATGGATTGAAAGACTCAACATTGTGAAGATGTCCATCTTACCTAAGGCAATCTACAGATTCAATGCAATACCTATCAAATTACCAGCAACATTCTTCTCAGACCTAGAAAAAAAACACAGGAATTCATATGGAAACACAAACGACCAAGAATAGCCAGAACAATTCTCAGAGAAAAAAAAAAAAAAGCAGACAGTATCACATTACCAGACGTCAAACTTTACGATAAAGCTACAATCATCAAAACAGCGTGGTACTGGTTTAGGAACAGGCATATAGATCAATGGAATAGAATTGAGATTCCAGAAATGAAATCTCAATTTCTCAACCAACTTATCTTCGACAAAGCCTCCACTACCTATCACTGGGGAGAGGAGAACCTATACAGTAAATGGTGCTGGGAAAACTGGCTGACCACATGCAGAAGATTGAAACAGGACCCCTATCTATCCCCATACACACAAATTAACTCCAAATGGATCAGAGACTCACTAATTTCAACAAAATATCAGCAAAACAAATCCAGCAATGAATAAGAAAAGATAATTTATCATTACCAACTTTAATTTTCACATAATGCAAATGTAGTTTAATATCCAAAACTTAATCAAAGACTTTCCTCTTCCAGTGATTGCATCTAGAACCTTTGGAAATGCTTCAAAAACCAGAATTTAAGGTACCCTCACTGGTTATTCTACAGTAGATCTTCTAACAAAACTAAACTATCCCAATTCCCTGGGAATAGATTTGCCTTCATACCAAGAAGACTTAAAAGATAACAAAATCTGTATATGGTATGTGGTCAGGTCAACTTTAAGGGGTCCATTCTATGAGACTTAAAGTTCTTATGAGGTTGTCACACACACACACACACACACACACACACACATCTGCAGAATCTATAGTGCATCCATATGTGCTAACTTGTCCATCTCAGCATCAAGTATAATTTTTTTTAATTGTAAAGGAAAAATCAAAATTTTATTTTGTTCACAGTTGACATGATTCTATATCATTTTTTAATGTGAAAGGAAACATTAAAAATTATTAGACTAAAAACATAAAAGGTGCTTAATATCATTAGTAATCACTGAAATGCTAATTCAAAGCATCAGAAGATACCTGCCTGAGTGGCTAAAATGAAAAAGACTGATATCACTAGGTGTCACAGAGGGTGTGAGGCATTTGGAACTTTTACACATTACTGATGGAGCTATAATTCAGTACAATCTATTTGAAAGTCAGTTTGGCAATATAGTATATACCAAAATTGAAGATATGGGCATCCTAAAATCCAGAAAGTCCACTCATATGTAAATATCCAACAAAGAGTGTACAAGTATACTAAGAAATGCATACAAGAATGGCTATCAAGCATTATTTCTAATAGCTAGAAACTGGCTGTCCCTTCAATATCAGACTGGATGAATAATGCATAATACCATCATACAGTAGAAAGTCTCACAAGGAAGATGAACAAACTACAGCTTTTACAATTTAGATGAATCTCACTAATGTAAACTGTTGAGTAAAAGAAGATAAAAAAGAAACACATAATATATCATTCCATTTACATAAGTTCAAAACATGTAAAAGTAAAATAAAATGTTGTAAAAAGAATAGTGACCAAGCATGGTGACTCACGCCTGTAATCTCAGCTTTTGAGAGGCCAAGGTAGGAGAATTACTTGAGTCTAGGAGTTTGAGACCAACCTGGGCAACATGATGAGATCTCCTCTCTGCAAAAATTCAAAAAATTAGCTGGGTGTGGTGGCACATACCTGTAGGCTTAGCTGCTTGGGAGGCTGAGGTGGAGAATTACCTGAACCCTGGAGGTCAAGGCTGTGGTGAGCCATGATCGTGCCTCTGCACTCCAGCCTGGGCAACAGAGTGAGACCCTAACTCAAAAAAAAAGATGATTATTTACCTTAGAGAAGCAAAGAAGGGTAATAATTGGCCAGTGTGTGGGGAAAATTTCGGGAGGGCCGGCAGTATTCTACTTGTGTTGGAAGCGATACACAGATGTTCTATGTAACAATTCACTGGGCACTGTATTTATGTTTTGTGCAGTTTTCTGTGTGTGTATTTACTTCATTGATTTTAAGAACTAGTCTTACATATCCATAATGAAATACTGGTATACACTACGATGATATCTACAGTCCTGACATCCCAAAGCTCTGGCAACAGAAAGGTTTCTTCAAAGGTTTGCAGCAAACTCATTTAGCAGCAAAATCTGACCTGAACTGACATGATGATACTAATGGTCTTTAAAAGTTCTACTTGACGTGAATATTCATTCATTCTGTTACAAAAATGTTTTG